CTTCTCTTTAAAGAACTCAGTTGAAATACTGAACCAGTGCAATCTTCAGATTTAGTTTGGCATCAGTCTAAATTGTAGTATCTTGCCATGTATAAAGGCTTTTCTTGTCTTAGACATGAGGAAAAAATACTGGCAAGGCAAGCAAAAATCTCCATTCCATAGTTAGATACTAAGTTCTTTTTTCTCTTATTAAAGTGTTGGAGTTTTTATAATCTCCTGAAACATCTACAGGATAGGTGACAGATCAAATGGTCCTCCTGCTTTATTCAACAACATGGTACTTATTTCATTAAAACAATATAAATCACAGAGAGAAGTCATGGCTACTCATTCATCTCACTAACAGTCCAGGCCCCACTTCCCTTAGAAATTTTATATTTTCTTGTCATTTCATTTAATGGACATATTAGCATATGTTATTCTTCATATCTTACTTAAAAGTGAACTAAACACACAAATCATCTGATGATTAATATGACACCAGTTGTTTTGAAAGCAAAACCATCAAGTTTGAGAGACAAAAAACACATGAAAAATGAGAACGCTAAATAAAAATCACTTTACTTGTCTGAGTTAGATGTTAAAGACAGAATAAAACCAGAAAAGTTCACCCTTCACAATGAATTCTTTAGCACTGATGAGTTTGTCTAATTTATTTGCTTGAAGTCCTGAGTTTATGAAGCATAAAACAATATAAACTAACAATGTCTGGCACTGAACCTTTAAAAACTAACAGATGCTGTACTGGTTTTGGCTGGGGTAGACATCACTTTCTTAGAAGTCTGGATCTGTGTTTTGGATTTGTGCTGAAAACAATGTTGATAAAATACAGATGTTTTTGATATTGCTGAGCAGCATTAACAGTGTCAAAGCTTTTCTGCTCCTAATCCTACCTGACCTGCGAGGAGGCTGGGAGTTCTCAAGAAGTTGGAATGACATTGACCCCAAATACCAGTGGGATATCCCAAACCATACAGTGTCATGATCAGCATACAAAGGTGAGAGAAGGAGGAGACATTTGGAGTGACAGCATTTGTCTTCCAAAGTCACCATTAAATATGATGGGGCCCTGTGGTGGTGTGTTTTTATTTAATTTGATATTTGTTCAATATCTGTTCACCCCCCCCCCCCCCCCCCAATCTCCTCCTCTCCCCAGTTGTCAATCTTCCCTAGCTCTTCCCTAACCCCCTCATCTCCAAGTTGTCAATCCTCCCTTTCCCTGCCCCTTTCCCCAGAACATTCCCTGTCACTCCTCCCAGGCTCCCTCCCCTGCTTCCAGAGCATTCCCTGTCTATTTAGTGAGGCTCAACACCCTATTGATTACTTTGTGCTATTCCACTCCCCTGCTTCCCCTGATAGGTCTGTCACATGTTAGTCCTGCCCTAAACTCCTCCCCTGCTATTCCCTTAGTGGTTGCTGTTCCTATACCCCTCCTCCTGAGTTCTGTATAAAACCTTTGTTCCTCCTCCCGAGGGGGTCTTGGGGCTCACTGAATAAAACCATTCTGTTCACCCCCAAGTCCCATGTCGCCTTCATCTGTTCCCTCACCACCAGCTGGGACAGCAGAGCTTCACAGGGGGAGCGGCCGCCCGTTCTCTTCCCTCTCGCCGCCTGGCACGCTTCCACTCGGGGAACCGCAGCGAGGGGAGCGCCTGCCGCGATACGACAGGGCCCTGTTCTCTGGAGATGGCTGAACACCTGCCTATCCATGGGAAGCAGTGAAGACATTCTTGATTTTGCTTCACTTCCATGCACAATTTTGCTTTAGCTATTAAAGTCTCTTGTGTCAACATGCTGTCACTATTCTGTCTCTCTCCCATGCCACTGGTGTAGGAGTGAGCAAGTATCTGTATGGGGCTTGGTTGCTGGCTGAGGTCAAACCAAGACAGATACACTGCAATATTTAAGACTTTTATAGGCATACTGCTAATTTTTACCTTGTCAGCTATTTCACATATCTGCACTCAGAGAAAGCAAAAGAAATTAACAAACTGAGCCATTCCTTAATGGCTGAAACCCAGCTAAGCTGAAGTCAGGATAATGAGGGCAGAATTTCACCAGTCAGCAACATTTTAATTTACAATGTGTACTGGACAAGTTTGCAAACAAAAACTTCCTATTTTATGTGTTACATAAAGCTAAGGCTTTAAACAAGCTCTCAAATTCTTAAACTGTGCAAAGGAACAAATTTGCAAAGCCCAGTTTAGATGCTCCTTAAACAAACTATCACAGAAAAAGGTAGGAACTGTAGAAAACAACAGGAGCCTAACTACAAGTAAGTAAATGGCAAAAATCTGCATTGCCATGCAAATGACAGATTCCCACCAAGTGTTTAAACTGTCACTTTTGTTTTTCAGCAACAAGATAATTTCAGATTTTTGGGTTTATTTCATTTTTTTTAAATAACCCACTCTTTTCCCATATCTGATGTATTTGAAATAAATTCACACTGATCTGTGCTGGAGTCTTTTTAAACAAACCCTGAGGTATTTTCATGCAAGACTTAGTTGGAGTTCACATAGCATGAAAGTTAAAAAAAAAGAGGCCCTATGGAACAGAACGAAGCATCGACAAAGACATTGCATCACTGTTTCAAGAGAAATTTTGACTGCATTAAAAATATCTGCTGTATAGTGGAGTGTGTGTAAATGAGATGCTGTTTTTACCTGGGCTGCTGGTATTTAAGATAATTAATCTCAGAAAAGATCATTGCTGAAGTATGATCTAACACCCTGTCTCTATTTTAAATCCCCATTTTAGAGCAGAGGAAAGAGGCCTGTGTCTTCACCAGCTAGTAACACAAGACAGTCACAGCCTTTCATATTCTTTTCCTGTTGTCTGCACCAGACTGTGGACACTTGAGTAGAGACAATATCGGAAGACTTATTCTGCAACTTCAAGAACTATTTAGCCACTAGAAACCTTCTGTGTTAACTTTTGCTCAAACCTTAAAATGCTGCTGCTGACTCTATAGCTGTCATTGAAGCTTAGCCTACAGACCATAATAAATTTTTATGCCAAAGGTTCCCTTAAAGCAATTTGTATTTTTACATGAAGTTAAAGTAAGTGCAAATGTCTTCCAAGAGCTGCCCTCATTGCTAAACAGAGAGCCTGTAAACTGTTGTTTTAGATGGTTTTTACCTGGGCAGAACTTCTTTTTACAATTTATACACTTGGACACTTTCTGCATATTTACAGAACCCTGCTTACCTAGCACTGCCCAAAAAAGCTTATCAGCAAACAACGACTGAATGATTTAAAATAATGTTCTTTCAAATAGAAATTACTCCTAAGTGAAATCATATGGTAATCATCTTGTTTATAAGTACAAGTCCGATCAACTGCTATTATTAACATATTCTACCAAATATATAAAACTAATCCTCTTAATTATTTTCTACTTTTTTTTTCATTATATATAAAGCAAGCTGCAGCAATTGCTCTCTGCTGATTTGACTAATGCATACAGTCATCCAGAAAAGACAAGACACTAGATCACAGCAATCAGCTATTTGAAACAAAGTGAAAATGCAGTCCTTGAAAGAAGGTTCCTAGAGACAGTATCAGGAAACCTGCAGTTCTGGGAACAGTTCCATGCCAAGCACAGAATATTGCTAGCAAATCAACTACAGAAACCCTGCAAGAGATTATTCTGCATTACTGAATAAGTATTTCATTTCCATCACACTGATTTCTTTTGCTCCACCACTCAAAACTGTAAAAATACCTTATATCTTTTACTATTCATTAATATGACACATTCATTAAAGTAAATTAAGCTAATCTAATAATATTCAGGTGCTATATTGGATAGATGAGAGTGTTTTGTCTTTTATTCTACTGTCTTCATCAAACAGTATTCTGAATAATTACCAGTCTGCTGTTATGAAGTTACAGCACTATTACATCCTAACTAGGAACTTCAGATCACCTACAGCATTTACACAAAATACCACAAATCAAGGCAAAGCACCTCAGACTATGCAGCAAGAAAGTAATTCCTTATAGCATTAAGTAATTCCTTATAGCATTGTATGTGTTTCTAAGGTCTTCACCATTTGGATTATTACATTATCTCAGTTTTATATTCACTAGTCAGGAGGTAAGTGTCAGCTGGAATCACTGAATCTCAATTTTTTTACACCTTTCATTTTGTTTGATGAGCTTTTTACCAATTGTAATTTACTGCTCTGATGAAAGTATAAAGCAAAAAGCTCAAACTGTAATCAAGGCTAATGGTGAACCACGTACCATGTGACAATAAATCAGCAAGGAGAAATACTCTAGAGACAAACAGAGATGTTTAGCATTTCAGTATAACACTGTTGGAATAACTGTTTATGTAAAATTAAGAACTGTACAAGAAAACCAAACAAACACCCAAGGTCCAAAAAAACCCAATATTCTCTTATAAAAAATAAAACAAAAAACTTCCTGCAAGCAACTAAATTTTGCAAGCAATAAAATCCTTTTTCTGCATTAAAGTATATAACAATGAGAACTAATAAGAAAGTCTGAGATACTAAAACATTTGATTTTTATAAACAATAATGAACATTGTCAGTCACAGCCTGCAGTAATTCCAACACTTGATCTTTTAAAACTTACTCCATGAGAGAAAATCCCCCACCTCTTCTATGAGGAAGACTTTCAAAGTTACTGGAACATTTTTTTCTTGGGCAAAAAAAATTTTATTTTAAAAAAAAAAAAAATAGGTAAAAAAAAAAAAAAAACTAAAACAAAAAAACTGAGAAAAAACCTCAGCAGTTTGTGTAAGGACAAAACTGAAAAAAAAAATCTCAATTCACTTTAATTGCTTTTCTGAAAGGCCTCAAGACAGAAGCTAAAACATGTAATAGCTAACAGATACACTTAAATAGGAGCTTAATTTTTTTGTTTTTAATACCCCAAAGCCTGCATGTTATGACTCAATAAAAATGGTTGTGTATAATTTTGTCATCATTATATTAATAATAAGTGTTAGACTAGATTTACAGTACCTTTGGATATTGTTTGACAGGGATCAGAACTCTCTCTGACAGCTTTATGTTTTTGTTGCTGATAACATCAAGATATTTCTTTTCTTCATCTTCCTTCTTGCCTTCTGAACCCTGAAATCTTTCCATTTCTGAAAAATATCACAAAACAGAACAATCAGTGACATGGTAGTTGTCATCCTTAGGAAGTTTAAACCTACACATTCCTACCCAGACTGTGCACTGAACACCAGTGATGTTTGCACTCACATGACAGGGACTGCTGTCTTTAAGAGAACCTGGACTCTCAGCAGTGCTGGGAGGCAGAGGTGACACTCACAACTAATTCTTCCCCAGCTGAAAGGGAAGCCAAATGATCCCAGCAGGAGCAGGAATAGATGAGGCTTACAATTCCAGCTGTCAGTCTTTTAAAAGAAATGACATCATCACTGCTCGATGCTTTGTGTAAATGCGACCTGCCAGAGCTAAGCTGCAATAGCTAACTTTCAGTACAAATACTAGCAAACTGAAGAAACTTCTTGTTGTTGCTGAGTTTCCATTCAAATACCTCTGAATTAGTTAACGATAAGAAATAAAGTTAACTCTTGCTCAAAAAAATCTTCAATTAAGAAATGCAGTGAAAAACATGAGATATGTGTATATATATATGTGTATATAATTTATATAGAATGTATATATAATTGATAATCTGTAGAACACTCTAGAATTTACAATTAAAATAAATAAAAAATATTTTCAGGTAGAATAGTTCTGAATTCTTTATTCCTGAATGCTTTATAACCAATGGATAACAACAAATAATTGAATTCATTATCCTGTGAAGAGCATCTTATATAGTTCTGAGAGCTCCCTGACAGTTCAGGTACTATAGAAAAAGCTGCTTTTGCAGCAGTGACATCGTTGACAGCACAGAAAGTGGTAATGCTTATAATGAGCTAATTATAACTGAATTATAGCTAAAAGGACAGCTGTGGATCTCAGAAACATGCTGCTTCAAGGATGGGAAAGCAATAGTGGAAAGGAGGAACACAGCCACAGCACATTCTAACATTCATATACAAGTTTCTTTGATTTCCAACATGCATAAAGAAAAAATGTGTTGAAAAGAACAGCCCATGTCATGATTTGTTAATAAATGTTTATGCTGCTTTTATGAGATCAAATAATTTATTTAAAGCCTGCACCAGCAGACAGTTCTCTAATGTTACAGTTATAAAGCTCTTTTAAAACCTCCCAAAGAACACACCTAAATGAGCTCAGATGGGATACACATTCAATCATTTAGGATTAAAAAGTTATTTACAATCACTGAAAGCATCAGAAGAGCGTTTCATTATTGTAAAATACTTGAACACATGTAAAAAATGTGGTATGTTGCATTCAGTGGAAGATTAATCTGGAAAGCAGCAAGCATCAATTAAGTAAGTAAAACACTCATTTTGGGCAGGTTTAATAGATAAAAAGTTCTTTGAAAATAGATCCAATGCAATTATACAAAAGGGTGTGGTGTGGGGGTACAGAGGGGAGAGACAAAGGTTTCATAAAGGGGGAAAAGTGTTACAAGCACAATAAGTAGTAAATGAAATAAAGGAATTTCCCAAACGTATTGTGAACACAGTACTGAATTAGATAATTCTAAAAGGCAGATGGGGAAAGTCTATCTACATATACACATATAGTTCACTAGAACCATGAAAGTTTAAGTTGGAGAAGACCTTTAGGGTGATCAAGTTCAGCTGTTAATCAAGCTCTGCCAAGTCCATCCTAAACCATATGCCTAAGTGCCACATCTACAAGTATTTTAAATACTTTCAGGGACAGTCATTTCACCACCTCCCTGGGTAATCCATTCCAATGCTCAATAACTGTTTTTGTGAAGACACGGTCCTGCTGTCCAACCTGAACCTCCCCTGACAAAGCCTGAGGCTATGTCTTCTCATCCTGTCACTACTTGCCTGGGAGAAGAAACCAACCCCCACCTGACTATAACCTCCATTCAGGTAGTTGAAGAGAACAATGAATTTTGCCCCAAGCCTCCTTTTCTCCACGCTAATCCACCACAACTCCGTCTGCTGCTCCTCATCAGGTCTGTGCACCAGACCCTTCCCCAGCTCTGCTGCCATTCTCTGGACACACTCCAGTCCCCCAATGTCTTTGTGAGGGGCCCAGAACTGGACACAGCATCCAAGGTGTGGCCTCAGCAGTGCTGAGTACAGGGGAACAATCACTGCCCTGGTCCTGCTGACCACACTACTGTTGATACAGGCAAGGATGCCATTAGCTTTATGAACAACTGTTTCTCCTGGAAAGCTGAAGATACTTAAAAGTCTGTATGGTCAGTAGGGATGGGTACTAAAGCCTAGGACAAAATGCTATGCTTTGAATCGTCTACCATGCTGTGCAACCAGTGCCAGTCTCGTGCTTTGTTTTCAACTGAGAGTACATGGAAGTTGCAGAATGAAAATGGGGTCTTTGCTGAAGCTAATGAAAGACTACTTCAGCTGGGCTTATCAGACTTATGTGAATAACAGTTTGTTTATCTACCACGACTGAGACAAGCTGTGGCACTTTAATTGGTTTCACTCCATGATGAGGGCTGAACTCTAAACCCAGAAGAGCCAGTCCCAGCTTATTATGGGAGGCACAAGAAACAGCAATGGAGAACTGAGTTTCCTCCAGGGAATGAAAGGCAACAGAGAGCCCATTTCAGCGGAGGTCCCACAGCACTTAAGGCCAAACACAGAAAGAGAAGCAAATGAGAAGGAATCGTGTTGAGAGCCCAGCTGTGAGCCCAGAACCACAGAAGAAGGCAGCAGGGACACTGGGGACATCAGGTTTCTTCCAGGAAGCACTGCTGACTAGCCCGTGACCATAGCCAGACAGCTTTTGAGTATCATCTCCAAGGAGGGAGAGTCCACAAGCACCCTGACAGTGCTTGGTCACCCTCACAGTAAAAAAAAGTTCCCCAATATTCTGAGAGAAGTTCTGTGTTCTGGACAACCCTGAAAAGAGTCTGGCTTTTTTGTACTTTCCCTTCAGTTATTGGTATACATTGGAAAAGATCCCCTATAGAGTCTTCTCCAGATTGAGCAGCCTGGAGGCAGCACTCCTAGCCTGTATTCGTGGACCCTTCATCATCCTTCTGAACCCTTACTTGACACTCCAGAATGTCCATCTTTACTTATGTGGGGAGCTGCACACTGAACAGACTGCTCCAGTGGAGTGTCACCTCTTTTGACCTGCAAAGTAGACTGAGAAGTAAGAAATGCCTTGCGTTGGTTTATTTCTAAAACAGAACATAGGGCTGAGTATCATCAGTGTAACCTGTGAATTTATATTAAAAATATGGCATTAGGATGTTGCTTCAGTGGAGCAGCCATGTGAGATGAGCTACCTTAGAAGTTTTCATTCCTTAGGGCTGGAGTTTAGTGTCTTCTGGATGTGGACCCTGGAAGCCCCACGTAGTCACCAGGGAGTCATTGTGACACCTGCGACAACAAGCCTTCTGGATGCTTGGGGGAGCCCTAAAAGGCCACAGTGTCTGGCCTCCTCCACTGGGGACAGACATCTGAATGTGGGGGAAGAAAAAGGGCCTCCATCCCATTGTCTGCTTTCTGAAGGCACAGAGAAGATTTTCTGGGCAACGATCCTGACAGGGCCTAGGGTGCTGGTCCCAATCTGCCATGCACTCAGGCTCTGTCTGCAGCTGCTGAGAGGCCAGGAATTCCTCTCCCAGTGTCCCAGCTCCTGCCTGCACATATCAGAGAGGTCAGTTACCATCTTGCCTCAAGAGCTAGAACATGCCAAGACACTCAAGTGTTACTCATCTGACCCAGGATGGTCCCTGGCATTGGTGGCAGCCCAAGTGCTGTGCTGAGGCAGAGTGGGCAGTTCTTTAATGCTCAACTTCAGTAGCTTTGCTGCTGGCTGCAGACTGTGTCATCAGCACCAGGAACCACACCAGCTTATCTCTTTGGTTTGCAGGGCAAAATAGCCTCAGAGGAAGACCTGGCAGAAAGCAGCACCTCTTCCCTGCTGCCAGCACCATCCAGGCGTCCCGGGCTGCACGTCCAGGTGCTTCCGAGAACCAAAGGTGCTCAATCTGCTGGGCTGGCATTAATGACTGAGCCTCTGTGAGCTGGCATTGGCACCCTTTCTGTTTTTACTGCATGGTGGAGTGGTTCCACAGAAGAGTGGAAGGCCTGGTACACCAGTCACCTTTTCCACATACATTAGGAGACAGTAACTCTGAGGTGCACTCTATGGAGGAGTCCGTCAGCTCTGCCAGCCATATTCAAGGAGAGCGAGCTGGGTCCCACTCTACAGAAGGATGTCAGCATCATTCCCCAGGACAACAGCACCACAAGTCTTGCAGCAGAAGCTGTAGTGGTAGCCGTGGTGGCAGCCGGAGTGGCACCTGCCGTGGCAGCCGTGGAAGGGCCCAAGAGAAGAGCCAAAGCAGGTATCCAAGGAGGCATCACAATGGCCGCACCAGGGTCCAGCAGGCCCAGGGCTACAGCCACTCAAGCAGCAGGAGACAGCGGCAGAGCAGGGCTCAGAACACTGCTCGTGACAAGGGCCAAAGGACCCAACGGCAAGTCCGTGCCCCCTCAAGGAGGCGTAAGCGCCGTCAGCAAGAATACCAGGTTTCTTTCATAGAACCGAGAGCAATAAGGAGACGATCCCAGCAGAGGTCACACAGATCTTCCAGCCAAAAATTGACGGAGTACCTAAGGGAGATGGAACGCGATGAGGGACGAGCTCTAAGGCATGACTGGTACATCCGTGCCTCTTCAGGGAGGAACAGGCACCAACAGCAGAGGCGCCAGCTTTCTTACAGAGAACCACAGATGACAAGGAGCCGAACCCCACGGAGGTTCTGCAGCACACTGCCCCTGATGGAGAATCCAAGGAGGATGGAATACTATGACAGACAGACTGAACAGGGCATCCATGCCTCCCCAAGGAGGAGTGAGCACCTTCAGCAAGGACACCAAGCTTCTTTCATCGAACCACAGATGACAAGGAGCCAATCCCGGGGGAGGTCCCGCAGCACACAGTTCTAAACACTGAGAAAGAATCTAAAGAGGGAATGTGACATCTCAACCTCCTCGGAGTGGCGTAAGCACCA